TCCATTCATACTACTAATTTCCAAAATAATGTCCTCAGTGATTTTTATTAAGGAAGTGATACAGCTCCTATTTTCCTAAAGCCCAATTGTTTGTCGCTTAAAATTGAATTTTCTGTCATGAAGTATATATATATGTATATATATATATATATATATATATATATATATATATATATGTATGCACCATAATGGATATCATCCAGATACATATGCCACCAAGAAGGTCACTATATATACGCTCTAAATAACGTTTTTATGCATGTTAAAATTTCATTTTTTATATGTAGGATATATTTTGGGGGCATATACATTGACTCCATTTTATACCTGAAAAGTTATAGTATCTTTCTTCTTTTTTGGCCAGTTTTAATGGAATGAATTGTATGTTGTATATTGGCTACAAATTAATGCGGTTTAGTTGCAATAAATGCATTTTTTTAATGATCAAAGTTACCATATTTGTATAAGGTGACTACCCTGAACGGGGAACACAGGAATGGAACATATATATAAAGCTATTATTTCAGGGCTTCGGGACACATTTTTACCAGGGATGTGAAACACTATAATGAACAGCATAATATATATAAAAACTTGCTAGTATTATTAATACCTGCCAACAAGTTATGTAAATGCAATTCAGTTGTATTACTTTTGCTGTATATAATTTTATTATTTGACTTATGGCCAACTATATTTCTATTGGTGATATTTTACGTCGTCAGCACAAATTACAAATTTGTTTTAAATATCCAATTTAATGTGGAGGAACCAATGTAATTATTCGAAATTATGAACTTGTGCATGTATGTTTATGAATTAATTCAATATATTAGTATATTAGGATTTAGGGAGGTGAGAAATATAACATACAGAAGAAGGCGTGACAGACTCCAAAAAGTATATATATTCTTGATCAGGATGAGAAGACGAGTCTGTTGTTGGTTGTTCGAGCTCTTATACTTTTTGAGATCTTTGCGTTCATACAGAAGCACGGACAGACGGACGGACGGACGGACATGGCTATATCGACCCGGCTTATCATTCTGTCATCCATCTTTGTCCAAAATTTGGTGTCTCTAGCTCTTATAGTCTCTGAGATCCTGGTGTTCATACGGAAGGACAGACGGACAGACAGACAGATATAGATCGACTCGTCTTGTCATGCTGATCAAGAATATATATGCTTTGTGGTGTGTGCCACGCCTCCTTTTGCCTCTTACATTTTTCAGCTCCCGCAAACCTATAAAAACAAAAAATACTCCATATTTTTATGTCACAACTTATTTCTTCAAAGGCAAGAATATGTACTGCATACAATAAGCTGTGAGCCACTGTATGTGTATTGTGGACAATCGAACACTGTTGTGTAATTTGTAATAGTGCGCTATGGTTTTAAATGATAAATCAAATTTTAAAAACAACTGCAAGTCATTGGATCGGTCTTATTGTTCTTCTTTCATTCACTTTATTTCATCATTTACGTCTTTTTATACCCTGTACCCGTAGGGTAAAAATGGTATATTAAGTTTGTGCAAAGTATGTCCGTCCGTCCGTTTGTCCGTCCTTCTGGATGAACGCAAGGATCTCAGAAAGCTGGAACAACCAAAGTTGGTATGTAGGAGAATCTCCTAGGTCTGAGAAAGGAAAAATTTTGTTATTTTTAATTTTCCATCCCTTTCTACGCTACAGAATTTCGTCAATAGCGTCCACATTTCAAATGCTACCTAAGCCAAACTTTACACACATAATTTATATATGTATAATTATCTACTGTTGTTCAATTTTATTCAATTTGGTCAGTAAACACCCACCCCGCATATAACTCAGTGACGGAAGTTTACCTGGGTACAGGGTATTACACTGCGGGCTTGCTGGAATGCAGCGTTCTCTCTTGTTATTGCTAGACAAAATGCCAAAAATTTACAGTTACCGTCGCTAGGCAACGACTCGGTAAGCGACAATAAAGCAGAAACTGAAAACGGACTACGCATATTTTGCTTCGCATTCCGGCAGATGTATGCACATTGCACATTGGGCCAGAAAGCCGATTTTTGTGCATAAATTCGAAACGTGAAGTTAGAAACTTGAAATTTAGTACTTGTACTTGTAATGATATGCATAAGAACTGTGCTAAATTTTGGACCGATCCGACCAGAGAGAGAGAGAGACGCTACAGCCGAACCAGCCCGACAGTAAAATACCCTGTACTCCAGCAAAAAAGAAAAAAATATTTTAAAATATCTTCTAAACATAATTTATAAATAAATGTATCTAATTAATAAAAAAAAATATATATATATATACATATATATATTTAATCCTTGGGACTGTGTGCTTGTGAGTCTGTTTACGTAATGTCCCCAACTATTTAATATTTGTTTTATTTGCTTTATATGCAAGTTGAAAGCCTTATTTCTATATTTTGAAATCGTTGAATACCAAGTAGTATATCTAGCAATTTTAAATTTGTAGCCCAAAATTTGAAATCGATCGGACAAAATTTATAACACAAACTTTTTATTGGAAAACAAGAAAGGAATGCTAAAATCGAGCAGGCTCAACTCTTAATTACCCTGTACCACCCCACAAAAAAGAAATTAAATTAATTAATTAATTTAATTTAATTAATTAATTAAATTAAATATAAAATATTCTATACATACATTTACATCATGAATCGTGTGTATGCGTGTTTGTGTACTTGTACATACATATGTGTGTATGTGTGCATTGGGCCTGGTTATCGCAAACTTAATGTGACCAAATTTTAGTTCAAAATTCCAAGAATTACGGGAGTTATAGAAAATCGTGAATAAGGCGGGTGTGGGGGGGGGGGGATCAGAAAAAATGAACAAACTCGTCCTTTCTCGGGCTCAGGAGAATCTAGATACCAAGTTTGGTTATTCTAGCTCTTATACTTTCTGAGATCCTTGCGTTCATACAGACAGACGGACATGGCTATATCGACTCGCATTGTCATCCTGATCAATTCATTTGAATTTGAATTGATAGATTTGGTAGTCACATTCAATTAGTGATTATATATCTGTATATCAAGTTTCATTACAATAGGTTGATTACAAAGAAAGTTATAGCCATATAACCAAGCCTAAGCTCTGTCCGCAGCTGTATTTGTTGCTGATTTGGCATAATTATTTAATGCACACATATGATGTAATGTAAATGTAAATTTATGTATGGAATATTTTATAATTAATTTAATTAATTAATTTTTTTTTAATAAATTTTTTGTGGGGTGGTACAGGGTATTTAATTGTTGAGCCTGCTCGACTTTAGCATTCCTTTCTTGTTATACCCTGTACCCGTAGGGTAAAAAGGGTATATTAGGTTTGTGCAAAGTATGTAACATACAGAAGGAAGCATCTCCGACCCCATAAAGTATATATATTCTGAATCAGCATGACGAGAGAAATCGATCTAGACATGTCCGTCCGTCTGTCCGTCCGTCTGTCCATCTGTCCGTCTGGATGAACGCCAGGATCTCAGAAACTATAAAAGCTAGAATAACCAAAGTTGGCATCCAGATTCTCCTAGATCCGAGTAAGGACGAGTTTATTTTTTTTTTTTTTAATTTTCCCCCCCTTCCCCCGCTACAGAATTTCGTCAATAGCGTTCACATTTCAAATGCTACCTAAACCAAACTTTGCACACATAATTTATAAATAAATATCTACTGGTGTTTAAAATTTTATTCAATTCGGTCAATTCTAAGAAAAGTTATTAGCGAAACAAATTCTCTCTCCCACAAACTGCAGCAACAAGTTCGCTCTTCTTCTTCCTCTTTTTGTTGCTGCTTTGGCCGCATATAACTCAGTGACGGAAGTTTACCTGGGTACAGGGTATTACACTGTCGGGCTTGCTCGACTGTAGCGTTCTCTCTTGTTTTTTTTTAAATTTCTATAAATATTCTACACACATGTACAGAGTATTTTAATGTAGGGACAGCCCCTATTCCACTTGTTTTATTTCTTCCGCCAAATAAAAAATGCCAAGGCCACGCTAAATCAGTGCTAGAAGCCTAACGTTAGAGAAAGAACGTTAAAAGTAGAGCTGAAATATATGAATACCCAACTGCGCGCGACACATGCTTTGGTTGCCTTCTCTTTCTTTGGCGACACAGTGGATATTTCTCAGAGGATATTTATTAAAAAGTAAACAAATTTTTAAGTGTTTTGAAGAATTTTCGATAACAATATATTGTCGGAAAAAAACTCAAACTCGTACTTTCTCTTCGGTTATTCTAAGACTTATACTTTCTGAGATCTTTGAGTTCATACAGACATATGTACATATGAATTTTATAATTTTTTTGATGCTGACACATATGTACATACATACACGCATAGAATCACAAAAACACAATTACTATGTAAATGTTCAGTTATAATCCATCAAAATTTTTCTTTTATAATATTACAATTTCGTTAAAATTCTATAATTATTATACGAAAGAAAAGTTGTTAGAGAAACAAATTCACTACAGTACTTCGCCCACATCTGGACACATACATACATGTGTATGTATAACTTGGTGCCGGAACTTAGTCTGGGAACAGGGTATTTTACTGTCGGCCTTGCTCGACTGTAGCGTTCTTCCTTGTTTTAATATATATAATAATAATAATATGCGTATAAATTACTCGTGAATAAACTTTTACAATTATAATTATTCGTGCAAATGATTATTCTTATCATTGATGACAATAATTGTTGCCAAAAATGCTAATGGCATTGAACAAATAAGTAAGTTTTTTATTTGAATCAATCTTAAATTATATTATCTTAAAATGTAATTAGCAAATTAAAAAAGATGCAAGTCTCCTTTATATTTTACAATATATCTATTGCAAACAATTTGTTGACATACTGTACATTCGTACCAGTGTGCACTGCACTGGAATGGCCTTGAATGAATAGTAAAGAATAAAAGAACCGTTAGAATTGTCAGCTCTGCCTTCTCTGCATTGTTTGATGATCAGTAAGCAAGTGAACGTCATAAAAATCGGTTGTGTTACCTTCTTCGGAACTAAAAATGTTTTACTTAATAAAGTGCGGAAAGTTGTACGTTTTTGAGAAAAAGAAATGTAAAATAATATCAAAAAACATTTGTTTAACAAAAATAAATGGAGCTACTTTTGAAGCAGAAATTATTAATTCCAGTGGTAAGTTGCATCGTAAATTTGGTCATACTAACATGCACACATACTTATATACATTCGTATGTACATATTTACGTTTATGTAGAATCAAAAGAACTTCTCGAAGGCCTATGCAAAAAGATGAATGAGGCGTTATACAGTAAGTATAAAATTTTTTTCACCGATATAAAAGAGTGGCAAACAAAAACTAATTTTTAATTAAATTTTTCCATTTTAGAGGCCAAGAGCAAAACCTCTGATGGTGGCGTTAACAAAGAAAACATTCAAAAAGATTCTGGTAAGGTATCTTGATTATTATAAATAAAGTTAGATGTAATACTAATATTTTAATTTATATATCTCCTATTTTAGTTAAACAAAAATTATCTTACAGCAGTGAAGTAAATAATAATGAAGTGGAACTTTATAAAGAATTAGGTAAGTAAATTACTTGAGTAATTTTGCTGTAAGCAAATATTTCAAGAAAATTGGCAGTACTAAAGGGAATTTAAATTTCAGAGGGCCAAACCTCTGATGGTGGCGTTAACAAAGAAAACATTCAAAAAGATTCTGGTAAGGTATCTTGATTATTATAAATAAAGTTAGATGTAATACTAATATTTTAATTTATATATCTCCTATTTTAGTTAAACAAAAATTGTCTTACAGCAGTGAAGTAAATAATAATGAAGTGGAACTTTATAAAGAATTAGGTAAGTAAATTACTTGAGTAATATTGCTGTAAGCAAATATTTCAAGAAAATTGGCAGTACTAAAGGGAATTTAAATTTCAGAGGGCCAAACCTCTGATGGTGGCGTTAACAAAGAAAACATTCAAAAAGATTTTGGTAAGATATTTCGATTATTATAAAGTCGACTGTGTTACTAATTTTTAATTAAATTTTTCCACTTTTAGAGGCGATTGGAGCAGATGGCTTCGACCCCATTCTGAGTAAGTTAATAGATAAATCATAAATATAAGTTACAAATAGTTAAAACTGTTAAAAATTGCAAGAAAATCTGTGAAAAACTAAATATAATAAGTGAAAAAGTTAAAGTTGAGTTTACCGCCTTTAATTATTAAATTTAAGTTCGAAATCCATACTGCAGCGTACTCACATAGGGCATCTATGTTTAAAATTTGGTGTTATGTAGCTCTTGTACTATTTCAGTTCTAGATTTGTATATAAAAGGCATCACGGAAAATCCTTAATAGTATCGTAATAGTGGAGGGGGGGGGGGGGGATGGTGAGGAGGTGAGATCCAGTTGTTCATTCGGACGGACAGACATGACTCACTGGACTAATCTCGTCACGCTGATCATCAATAATATATATTTGTAGGGTCTGTCATCTTCTGCATGTTACATTTTCACTTTGCACAAACCTAATAAGTATTCGCTTTTTTCATTTTATGTATAGAGTATAAAAATGTCACTAATCCATAAAATACCCCGTGCGTCTACGAAATATTTCTTTCGTAATAAGTGAACAGAGTGTTTATAGCCTGTTTTTTTATAGTTTTATAAGATACGTTAATTTTAAAATGTTAATTTAGAAAGCTTAATAATCATTTTTAATAGATTCTACAGAACATTCAGAAATTAGTTCAAAAGCAGTTAGTGGCTATACCGACACTTTGGAATCACTCGGATCTAATTGGCCAGAATCTGCAACATACGATGGCATCAACTCATCATTAACAATAAACGAGTCATTTTCATATGAAGCTCAAGTACCTCTTTTTGATCTTAGAAATGTTGAAATACCTACAGCAAAAACACAAACAAAGAGCAAAAGACACTTTTGTATGTTCTGCAAAAAATTGCAAACAAAATTTGCTCGACATTTACAAAACGTTCATATGAATGAACCAGATGTTAAGAAATTTATGGTTCTTTCAGCTAACGATCCCAATCGAAAAATTCTAATTGATTCTATTCGGAAAAAGGGAGATTTTATACACAACACAGATCAAATCTATAACGAAGGTATTATAATAGCACCTCGCCAAAACCGAATTAATTCTCGTAATGGTCCACATGATTTAATAAGTTGTAAAGGTTGTCTTGGCTTCTTTCGGAAATCGACAATTCGTTGCCATATTCGCAACTGCCGTGTTTTTCATCCTAATGGTTCGAAAAACATGTTAAGGGATGGACGCAGCAAAACTGGCTATATGCATAAAGCTGCAAATGACATATTGCGTCGAAAAGTTGTTCCAGTTTTAAATGACGATGATATAACGAGAAATTTATTATATGACCATTTGATCGTATTATTGGGAAATGCAGAATGCATGAAGTATAATGCATTACAACATGATATGATTCGGTCTCATTTAAGAGTATTAAGTAGATTGGTAATAGAATTAAAACAACAGTCGCAAGGCCAAATAAAGGAGTTAAAGGATGCCATTCATCCCAAACATCATGAACTTATGATGTCTAGCATTCGAACTGTTTCCCAGTGGGATAACGAACTTTTGCTTTTTAAAACCCCATTGGTTGCTACAAGTCTAAGCTCATTAATAAAAAAAATGTGCAAAAATATTATTGACACAATGTATAATAAATCAAGATGAGATAAATAAAAAATTAGTAAATGATTTTATTGTCTTATGGGAAACCGAAATACCTGTAAACATAACCAAAAAAGCAATCGAGGACCAAGCCAAAAAACGTCGAGCTGTAAAAACAAATTTACCTTTGAAAGAGGATATTAAAAAACTCTTTGATTTTGTTAACAAAAAATCCGCCGATGCGCTGAATGTTTTGAATAAGAAATTCGATTTTGAAGCGTGGAATAGTTTGATACGAAGCACATTAATAAGTCTCCAAATATTTAACCGTCGTCGGGCTGGAGAAATAGAACGATTGAGCATTGAAAATTATAACACCGCTCATGCAATGGAAGAAAATATAGACAAAGATGTTCTAAATAAACTGACAGCTAGAACGAAACAAATTGCAATGCAATACAAAAGGTTGACTCTTCGAGGAAAATTAAATAGAACAGTGTCAGTACTTCTTACTCCCTTTGATTGTTTTTGTATCGATATGATCCTCCTTTTAGCAGGTGAACTTTATGAGAAAGATAATTGTGCACAAGACATCGAAAATGAAGGTACAATATTGAAATTTTTAGATAATTGAATTGTGTATGTGTGTGACTGGGTACATGTATGTTATATATATTATATCACTTAGGGACCCGATCAAGCTCTTGGCCATTGATTTTCATTATTCGTCGAAAAGACCTGAGACTCCTTTACAGTTTCATTTTCGGGCCCTGAAAGATATACTATAAGTCATATATGAACCATACTTTTAAAAAAAAAAAATTGAATTCAATTTTACAGCTGAACCTTTTGAGGATTCTGGATCCGAATACATCGACGAAAATGAGTCTGAAAAGTCAAAAGAGGAAATAGTTGAGCCGCAGCCAAATCGAAAACGCCGCAGTAGTAAGAACAAAAAACTATAACATTATATAAATATAAACCAAATTTTGAATGCATGAATTGTATTTTTATAGCCTGCACCCAAAGGGTGAAAGGCTATACTAGTTTTGTGCGCATGTATGTAACACACAGAAGGAGGCGTGGCAGACCCCACAAAGTATATATATTCTTGATCAGGATGAGAAGCCGAGTCGATATAGCCTTGTCCGTCCGTCCGTCTGTCCGTCTGTCTGTCCGTCTGTCCGTATGAACGCAAGGATCTCAGAAAGTATAAGAGCTAGAATAACCAAACTTGGTTTCCATATTCTCCTAAGACCGAGAAAGTACGAGTTTGAGTTTTTTTTCGATGCACCCCCCCACTCCCCCGCAATTCGTGTTTTTTCTTATAACTTCCGTAATTCTCGGAATTTTGAAATCAATTTTGGTAGGTACATCCAGTTAGTACTAATGTGTCCGTGTGCCAAATTTCATCATGATAGGTCAATTCTGAAGAAAGTTATAGCCATAAGTAAAATCGCTGCTCATGCGCTGCCTCTGTCGGCAGCGCTGCCCGCAGCTGTTGTTGTTGTTGCTGCTTTGGTTCAACTTTGTGCTGCATACATACACGCATATAAACACGCATAGGTACGTGATGTAAATGTATGCTGTTAAAACTAATTTAATTAATTAATTCATTAATTTTTTTTAATAATTTAATTTTTTTTTTAATTTTTTTTTTTTTTAATTTTTCTTTTTTTGTGGAGAGTACAGGCTATTTTACTGTCGGGCTTGCTCGACTGTAGCGTTCTATCTTGTTATTATTAATTTTACTAATCTTATTTAATTTTGTATATAGCATCTCCTTTTGGCAAGACACAACGCATTCGTTGGTCGCCACCTGAGCGAAAAGAGATGGAAGAGGCTTTCGGCAATTTCGAATCGTTGAAAAGATTACCTAGCTTAGCAGAGTGCAATAGGGTTATTGCTGCATCCCAATATTTAAAGCGTCGTACTCCAGCACAGCTTAAGTCATGGATTGACAATCAGCGAAAGGCTGAGTCAAGAAAAAAATCAAAATAATTTTATAAAAAGAATTGCATTACGGAAATGCTAAAACAAAAATTAGTTTACACTTTATAACTTGATACTTTTATATGTTTAACAAACAAAAATGAATGAAAATGTATTCTTTATTTTAAAAGTTTATGAAAGAAAATCATTTTTTTAGAGTTTAAACTAGTAGCATTACCGTAATGTAATTCTTTTTATAAAATTATTAATATTTTTTTCTTACTGGAGCCTTCCGTAAACAATCAACCGTTAATTGTCAACGGAAGTCTCCGATAAAAAAAAACAATATTAATAATTTTATAAAAAAGAATTGCATTACGGTAATGGTACTATACAAATTTGTTTGCACTATAAAACTTGATACTTTTAGATGTTTAAATAAAAATTTTATGAAAATAATTGCATTACGGAAATGCTACTACAAAATTTTTGTACACTTTAAAGTTTGATACCTATAGATGCTTAACAAATAAAAATGAATGAGAATTTTATATAATTTTATAAAAATGAATTGCATTACGAAAATGCTACCAAATTTTGATTGATACTTTTAGATGTTAAGCAAACCAAAATGAATGAAAAGTTTTTCTTTATTTTATAAGCTTATTAAGAAATTACATTTTTAGAGTACAAACAAAGAACTAAGACTCCTGCTGGATCCTCATTAATTAATCAATTACTTTGTCATGTATTCCAAGTTTTGTGTTCAAATATATTACATTTTCACAAATGCACAACAAAACAATTTGAAAAAATTGTTTAAAAATTTGGCTTATGTTGGGGATAATCACTTAATTATTTTCAAATATATCCATACATGATTTCAGAAACATATTGTTGTCATAAGGGTAGCTTCAAAATATTTATAAATTTGAAGGACTAATAAACATATAAAACCATAAAAATAATTGCTTAAGTTCCATTTAAATTTTAAGGACCTTTTTTTTATTGAGTGATGTCCTTATAAAGTACACCGAGCATGTTGAAATCAAACGTTAAAATTCAAATCCATCAATCCCATTGAATTAGCTAAATACATACATATATCAAGAAAATTTTATTTAATTATTTTCTATGTCCTAAAGGTATATATTAAACTCAAGAGTATAAGTATATCATTTAAGGTTCGTTTCATATTATTATTCTAGGCTCCGAAAAATATACGTTAAGCATAATGAATATATAATCATTAAAATTCAAACCTGGTTTTATTTCAATATACATATACATACATATATATGTATACATGTATACATGTACATATATATGTACACAATGTATAATAAATCAAGATGAGATAAATAAAAAATTAGTAAATGATTTTATTGTCTTATGGGAAACCGAAATACCTGTAAACATAAACAAAAAAGCAATCGAGGACCAAGCCAAAAAACGTCGAGCTGTAAAAACAAATTTACCTTTGAAAGAGGATATTAAAAAACTCTTTGATTTTGTTAACAAAAAATCCGCCGATGCGCTGAATGTTTTGAATAAGAAATTCGATTTTGAAGCGTGGAATAGTTTGATACGAAGCACATTAATAAGTCTCCAAATATTTAACCGTCGTCGGGCTGGAGAAATAGAACGATTGAGCATTGAAAATTATAACACCGCTCATGCAATGGAAGAAAATATAGACAAAGATGTTCTAAATAAACTGACAGCTAGAACGAAACAAATTGCAATGCAATACAAAAGGTTGACTCTTCGAGGAAAATTAAATAGAACAGTGTCAGTACTTCTTACTCCCTTTGATTGTTTTTGTATCGATATGATCCTCCTTTTTAGCAGGTGAACTTTATGAGAAAGATAATTGTGCACAAGACATCGAAAATGAAGGTACAATATTGAAATTTTTAGATAATTGAATTGTGTATGTGTGTGACTGGGTACATGTATGTTATATATATTATATCACTTAGGGACCCGATCAAGCTCTTGGCCATTGATTTTCATTATTCGTCGAAAAGACCTGAGACTCCTTTACAGTTTCATTTTCGGGCCCTGAAAGATATACTATAAGTCATATATGAACCATACTTTTAAAAAAAAAAAATTGAATTCAATTTTACAGCTGAACCTTTTGAGGATTCTGGATCCGAATACATCGACGAAAATGAGTCTGAAAAGTCAAAAGAGGAAATAGTTGAGCCGCAGCCAAATCGAAAACGCCGCAGTAGTAAGAACAAAAAACTATAACATTATATAAATATAAACCAAATTTTGAATGCATGAATTGTATTTTTATAGCCTGTACCCAAAGGGTGAAAGGCTATACTAGTTTTGTGCGCATGTATGTAACACACAGAAGGAGGCGTGGCAGACCCCACAAAGTATATATATTCTTGATCAGGATGAGAAGCCGAGTCGATATAGCCTTGTCCGTCCGTCCGTCTGTCCGTCTGTCTGTCCGTCTGTCCGTATGAACGCAAGGATCTCAGAAAGTATAAGAGCTAGAATAACCAAACTTGGTTTCCATATTCTCCTAAGACCGAGAAAGTACGAGTTTGAGTTTTTTTTCGATGCACCCCCCCCACTCCCCCGCAATTCGTGTTTTTTCTTATAACTTCCGTAATTCTCGGAATTTTGAAATCAATTTTGGTAGGTACATCCAGTTAGTACTAATGTGTCCGTGTGCCAAATTTCATCATGATAGGTAAATTCTGAAGAAAGTTATAGCCATAAGTAAAATCGCTGCTCATGCGCTGCCTCTGTCGGCAGCGCTGCCCGCAGCTGTTGTTGTTGTTGCTGCTTTGGTTCAACTTTGTGCTGCATACATACACGCATATAAACACGCATAGGTACGTGATGTAAATGTATGCTATTAAAACTAATTTAATTAATTAATTCATTAATTTTTTTTAATAATTTAATTTTTTTTTAAATTTTTTTTTTTTTAATTTTTCTTTTTTTGTGGAGAGTACAGGCTATTTTACTGTCGGGCTTGCTCGACTGTAGCGTTCTATCTTGTTATTATTAATTTTACTAATCTTATTTAATTTTGTATATAGCATCTCCTTTTGGCAAGACACAACGCATTCGTTGGTCGCCACCTGAGCGAAAAGAGATGGAAGAGGCTTTCGGCAATTTCGAATCGTTGAAAAGATTACCTAGCTTAGCAGAGTGCAATAGGGTTATTGCTGCATCCCAATATTTAAAGCGTCGTACTCCAGCACAGCTTAAGTCATGGATTGACAATCAGCGAAAGGCTGAGTCAAGAAAAAAATCAAAATAATTTTATAAAAAGAATTGCATTACGGAAATGCTAAAACAAAAATTAGTTTACACTTTATAACTTGATACTTTTATATGTTTAACAAACAAAAATGAATGAAAATGTATTCTTTATTTTAAAAGTTTATGAAAGAAAATCATTTTTTTAGAGTTTAAACTAGTAGCATTACCGTAATGTAATTCTTTTTTATAAAATTATTAATATTTTTTTCTTACTGGAGCCTTCCGTAAACAATCAACCGTTAATTGTCAACGGAAGTCTCCGATAAAAAAAAACAATATTAATAATTTTATAAAAAAGAATTGCATTACGGTAATGGTACTATACAAATTTGTTTGCACTATAAAACTTGATACTTTTAGATGTTTAAATAAAAATTTTATGAAAATAATTGCATTACGGAAATGCTACTACAAAATTTTTGTACACTTTAAAGTTTGATACCTATAGATGCTTAACAAATAAAAATGAATGAGAATTTTATATAATTTTATAAAAATGAATTGCATTACGAAAATGCTACCAAATTTTGATTGATACTTTTAGATGTTAAGCAAACCAAAATGAATGAAAAGTTTTTCTTTATTTTATAAGCTTATTAAGAAATTACATTTTTAGAGTACAAACAAAGAACTAAGACTCCTGCTGGATCCTCATTAATTAATCAATTACTTTGTCATGTATT